AAAGCAATTTGTTCAGAAAATACTTAACACATCTGTTTCAGTCTTTTATATGAATCATCTAACGCTACATTATGATCATATTTAAGTAGTTCTGCGTATGATTTAATTTTTGGAAAAAGACTATCCAGGAGGCAGCCAACAACTCTATACTGAGTATTAGATCCAGTTAAATGTCAATGGCTGATACGTAATCTATGTAATTTTCTTCCTTTCAATGGGACCGTTGAGTAGTGCCTCTGTTCTCAAAAACAAGTTTTTTCCAAATCCTTTTTGCTTTGCCCAGCATGAGGAGCTCAGAAAATATTGTAACCAAGTCTGAAACGTTTGTTGAGAAATGTACGCGTTGTTTGGATTTGGGGGTTGTTTTTGTGGTTTTTTGTGGGGTTTTTTTTCCTGGCTTCTGCCCAAATTATTCTTGTGAGTAAGAGACTTCGCAGAGCCTCTAGTTTGAAGAGGCTGTCATGTTTTCTTGTAATAGCAGCTCCTACTCCTTGGGGTTGCTGAATGCTTTAACTATTATCATAACCTTGTAGTTATGCCCACACTTTTTCAGTTTAAAATATGTATAGATGAAAAGATTTTCCATGTTGTTTGTATATTGTTTTTTCCTGATTTGAACTCAGTTGTTAATCAAGACAATTTCAAAACCAAAATGAATGTTACTCACTTTTAATTTCTAGGATCTGGCTGGGGTTTTTTATTGTGATATACCTTTTACGTTATATTAAAAAAATGGATATATTAATTTCTGTTTCACTTAGTAAGTCATAAGGTGTTCATGCTTTTATGAGTGAGCAGATTAAAATGCTATTGCCATAAAGTCTGTATACAACTCTCATTTTCCCCATCTTTTAAAAAGGATACATGCATACATAGTGGCTAGATAAAAGATTGGCTAATTTTGCTGGCATTGTAATATCACTTTTTTTTTTTTAATTGGCTTTAGGCCTGGAAATCTCACCTAATGGGCAAAGATGGCTGTAAAATGAATCAACGGAGGTTATCCATGATAAATAAAACTCTTCTGGTGCAGCCTGGTAAGATGTTATTTTATGACAATAATGATTATGCTTTTTACTATGTTGTCTTTACTTAAGAAAAGTATTTCATCCTCGAGAGCAAGCTGGCCCTTTTTTTGCATTTGTGTAACCTAACTGATATTTCTTACGCTGGTATAGACTACAGTATACTTAGGGAGCGAATTCTCAAAATCATTCAATAACAATCATTTCAAAACGAGGGCATTAGCTCAGTTGATTGGGGAAACTGGCATATTTGATAATTTGATCAGTTCAGGGTTTTTTTCTGCATAGTAGTATGACTGTGAATAGAACAGTCAGCGGTGATACTAAACAGTTAACATTCTGGAAAGCTCCTGAACGCTGACACAGAGAACCGAGAGCCTGATTTAGCTTTTAATGTCCAATCAGAGGATGCTAATCTAATCCTAATTACAAGATGAATTGAATAGTTAGTGCTGTGTACTGCTTTTCCTTTTCAATTCAGACCCAGGAGCTAGGCAGAATTTATGATTGTGCAGCTTCTTCACCAGCAAAGAGATACTGATGTCAGGTGGTTGGGTTTTTTTAACAGTCGTCCGTCTTCATGAAGCACACGCAAAATCCTTTTATTTCCTGAACACAGAAGTTAAACAAGCTGTTTTCACTGCCTGCAGCACCAAAACTCTTTGGCCAGTAACATCCAACACCTTTCCTCCTTCCTTCTTTTCAGAGTTCTTTATTCCGCTGCATGTTCAGGTCGTTGCTAGAGTTAACCTTCTCTGTCTGATATTTGCTTTGCTCATACCTGCATTTCAGAACTACTCCAAGTTCCTAGAAAGAACTGTTGAATTGTCTCTTTCAGCTGTCATAAGTGAATGCGGTTAAACTCAACAGTTTCCAGTCTTGAAGTGGACCTACAATCATGTCTGTCTGTCTGTCTTCAGCTTTGCTGTTTCTACTTGCTAATGAGAATGATAGTTAGTTTGCTGCTGCTTAGAATTTGGAAACATAGAAGGAACTTAAATCCTGCCTGGATACAGCTAAAGCTCCTGACCAATTTCCTAGAGATAAGAAAGGAACCCTGACCATTTAGTCCTACCAATCCTGGTATGAAATGCTCCTCAGACTGGATGCCTGCCAACTTCTAGTTGCTAGTATCAGTCATTCAGACTTAATATATCCTGAGAATCAAAATGGGAGATAAAATTCAAGACTGGGACTAGATGTGCGTGCAATAACGATCTGTATTTTCTCTTCACAGGCAAAACAGGTGGCCAGTATTTAAGGAAACCAGGTCCTTCAGGAGCAAAAGCTCGACCTTCCTCTATAGGAAGCAAGATCCCCACCCCAAGAGGGGGCCCAAATAAAAGCACTGGCAAAACATACTCAAAGCGATGACAGGACAAGTATTTTTTCCTTCGTCTTAATAACTGGGCATATAGCTGTTAATAGTTATTTAACAATGGTGGGCAACTCATATGATCTTTTTCGTTTGACTACATGGGGCTGTTTATCAGCCTTGAGCAGTACTTGCCTAGTCTGATAACTGCGGTACATAACTTCTGTGTTAGCTGTCTGTGCAGCACTGTGGTTTTCTCCTAGAAATGCTCATGTTAGAAATACGCATGTGTTCTGGGACAGATCTAGCCTGCCACATTCCCTGTATGGCACAAGGAAGGCCGCGCATTGTTCTTTGACTGGTTCCTCATATTAAAACAACTCCCCAGTGAGTATGGAGTTAACATGGCCGCACTGGGTAGCTGCTGTGACAATCAGCACAGGGGCTGTGTCCTGGTCAGTGGATTACCTGGGGCTGTTGTTCTGACAGTCTGGTTTTGAGATGCAGTAAGGGATTTCCTTAAGATCCAAAAGCCACAGTCATTTGTGTTTTGGCTTTCTTTTGGGGAAGAGCAAGAAACCCACCAAGCAGAAATTGTACTAGACTTTCAGGACAGAGCTGAAAAGCATTTGTTCTTTTGATCTAAGTGTGACACTTGTTTTCAGTTACACGTTCTGAAAGCTTGGGAAGTAATACCTGTATTAGCTGACTTCACCACCTGATCGCTTCAATGTAATAATCACAGAATATATTGCTAATAGTTTTCTGCCAAAAGTGACTTTATAACATGCTGAAAGTAATAGTGTCGATAATTTTTGTTTGTCTTGCCATCAGATGCTTGTGGTAGACAAATAGGTCGCAAGTTAAACTGTGTGTACTGGTTGGCTGGGAGGTAGGCTGCCTGTGTGTATTTCTGCGTTACATCAGTGCATTTATGAGAATCCATCATAATTAGACTTGAGGAAACACCATGGAAAATACGGATATACAATGAGCAAAATAGGCTTGTTGCAGTCGCACAGGTTCCTCTGATGTGATGATGATGTTGGTATCTTAGCAATACCATTGTCCATCTGCTACGACGTGCAGCTGGCAGGAGGTGAAATGAAAAATGCGTGCACGTGTAGGAGGAAGTACGCTTTAGGCTATATGAAATGTGTATCTCAGTTATCTGAAAGACCTCTATGATCCTGTATAGATAAACTCTTGAAACAATTAATGGGTAAAATGACAATTCCATAAAGCAAAATTCTTCCTCACGTGTTTGCTAGAAGAAAAAAAAAGGGGGGGGGGAAGAAATTGCAATGTAGTCAAGGAAAGCTCTGGGGTTTGTTTTTTCCACTGCAAGTCCTGTAGTGTGGATTTATTTGCTTCAGTTAGGGTGTGTTTACAAGTAGGGCCAGGAATTGGAAAGCTTTTTCAGTTGTCCACTCCTCCAGTATAATGAAGGAAATCAAAGAATCATGCCATTCTTTGGTGATTAGTTTAGCCACTGTGCCAGGACCTAGTGTATTTTGATAGTAAGAAAGACGCTATTAGTGAGTTTACAACAGCTGCCTTTTCCTTCCGTGTGTTTGTCACAGTAAACGTTGTCAGCTAAAATGGGGCAAACTTACAGCCATTGTGAAAGCTTACAAGTCTATTTATTTGTGCTAGGCTCTAAAACTCTTGGTTCCTTCACTGGAAATGGGAACTGTACTTTTTTCTAAAACTGACTGGTATCCTTGAATACCTCCTAAGTCAGCTGAAAGCTCTGATTGACCTTGCAGGGAAAGGAATTGGACCAGGGCCATTAGAAAATGTTTCCACTCATTTTTAAAACTCTTAGAAACATTATTTTGACAGATAACTTTGCTCTCCTTACTAATACTGGTGTCCGTAATTTTATGAGTTCAAGCACGTTAATAATGTCGAGTGAAATGTCTCTTCCTTGGGTCGGCCAAGGCTCTAGGAGTAACAAGCCGTGCATGGTGAGCAGTGGTTTGGCTGTGGAAGCCTGGCCTTTACATATATTTCAGGTTTAAAGGCAGTAGAGCAGTACCCAAAGCACTACCGAACACCAAGAATTAGCACCAAATAAAAAAGCTAAAGGGCTGGCTGGATGTTGCCATATGACATGCCGTTACGTAGGCAGTAACATGAAATAGCTGTTGGGCGCCGCCTCTCGCTGTGCGCTAAGTGCCTTATTAGTCCACTTGACAAGAGGATTAAGCTAAACCACAGGAGTCCCATTCGGTACGTAATAAGAGCGTGTATCGATGGAGCTACAGTAAAAATTAAAGTTGTGCTTTAAAAACCTCACCGTTAATTCTGAAATATATCCCCAAGCAATGGCCCCTTAAAAAAAAGAAAAAAATCTTAGTGGGGCCCTGAAAAGCTTGAATTAATAAATTCAAAAATTAGACCTTTTTTCCTGCTTTAGTGTACATTCTCTCAGCTCACTTCTAAATCCAGCTCTAATGCTGAGTTTCTCTAGTTAGATCTTGATTAAAACAAACATCCGTAGACTTCAGCATGTGACCATTTAATAGCTTCAAAGAGAACAAATTCTATTAAGACACAATGTGTGAAGCTTTGTACCTCAAGCAACAATCCTAACACTTCGACTTGTAGCGCTTAGGCAATTGCTTTCCAGGATAGAATTAACTGGTCCCACGTCGATGTACCCACAGGTACAAGAATGACTGATCGTGGTAATATAAGTAGAAGTTTTGGGGGCTGGGTTTTTTTGCTGCCAGGGAGTGAATTTGCGGTATTGTTCTGTATATGCAGCGCTGGTTTTGCAATACGCAGTTTTTATAGTTTGCGTGCAGCCTATCTACAAGCTCTTGAACTTTACAGGTAGATCGGTGCGCTTGTATTTTGAGAGTCTTTCTATGAATGGTTTCTTTAACTCTTCCAAATATCTATATGAATAAATATACATACGTTAGGAATATATATATTAACAAATACATACATATTTTGATTTCTACTTTAGTGACGCAGGTTCCTGTGTGAGAGCCCGATTCCGTACGCAAGCAAAATAACCATTGATCTCGTTCAGATTAGCATGTGCAACGGACCACAGGCTCACAAGCTGTTGCCCAGAGCATTTTTTCCTTTTGAACGTAAAACAACCAAACCAAACCAAAAAAACCCAAAACCATGACCCCACAAACACTGTTAATTATAGTGGGGGTCGTATTTCCTGGTGGTGACCGGTCTGCATAGCAGAAAAGGTGGGAGCTACGTAAGACGCTTTTACGGACCTTCTCTGTGGAGGCATTTTTCCCTCAGGTAGCTCTTGTCTCTCACGTTTGCGTACGGGGACGCTTTCCTGCTGTTCTGTGCTCAGGCCGCCTGTCTCCCCGTGCAGTTGTTGGGGCTCCAGAGCGAGCACGGTAACTGCTTTTCTCTTTGCTCCGTCGTAGAGCACAGTAATTATGCCTTAGGGAGCCGTGCAATAACTCTCGGCAGCTTTTTCACTGCAGGAAGTTGTCAGGTAGGAGATTCCTGGCTCTTCCCTGTCCTTACCACCCACCTTACTTACCTAAGGAGCAAGAGAAGCGCATTACAGAGCCTTCCGTCAAACAGCTTTTAAAAGACAAATGCATAGGCTTGGGCACACCGTCTTAGGGCTCTGCAATTGTTTTTCAAATGCGGAATAGCTCTTTAGCAAAATTTTAAAGAAATCATTTAAATATTTCAGAGTGCATGACATTCACTGAGATTGCTGGCTGTCTTTAGACTAAAAAAAATGCACTTCTGAAGTGAGGTGTAAAGGTGATGTTAACTACCCAATGGCACGAATTGGAAACAACTTAGAAGTGAGGAAATGGAAATTTTTTAGGATGTGAAAGGAGCATCTTTGAGCATAGTAGTACCACCGATGTAATTTTTAAAGGATGATTTCACTGGGCTGCTTCCTTTCACTTAGTAAACAACCTGTGTTTTCTGCAGTGGTAAAATAAACACTGGTGTGAAAAACACAGTGGAGTTTGTTCCTGTGCCATGAAGTCTCCAGCAAAATATTCCAGAGCAAAACTGTTGCACAGGTGCAGGGTCTGGCTAATGGAGGGAAGTTCTCCAAACTGTTGGGCTGGAAATCTTAAACCAGCAATCACGGTGCATCGTTGTTAAAGGACGAACAGCCTGTCATCCCTATCTCATGGGCTTTTTTCTATCCCATCTCTTTCTCCGTACTGTACCTGAATGTCAACCAAGTCGTTTTCGTCCATCTGAACTGCAGAGACGACTCAAGAGCAGCCAGCGTCCCTGCGTGCAGGAATTTGTCTGATCTGAAGCGACCGCTTGGAGTTCCACTGCGCCAAGAGAGCATTTATATAGACTATGCGGTTCCCAAGTACTGGATAAGCAGATAAGGTATTTAAATCCTAGAGACGTTATTGCTATCACTTTAAGAGAAAAAGTCACTTCTGTTAAACATGTGAGTTACTTTCATTGCACTTATTTAATAAATTTGTTCAGCGAGTTTGGACGGTACCTCTGCATTTTCAAGCAGTTAGAACAGAAATCAGTACTGGGTGGGGTGAGAGCGTGGCTGCAGAAGCAATGCCACGGCAGCACCTTAGTACGTCTGTATTGCACCGCTTCAGCAAACGCGGTGCGTGTGAGCCCCTGCTGCTGCCCTGCAGATACCGCTTGCCGCATCGAGGGGCAGAGCGCGCCGCGGGCCGGGTCCTCGTTTCTTTCGGGGGGCAGGTGCGATCGCGGTC